GCCTTCAAAAATTTGCTGGAACCAGAGCTTCCCCTAGGTCGTCTTGCCTTGTGAAAACCGACTGTGCTCAAGAATTGACCAAAGCAGTTGAGCATTTGGGCTGGTTGAGTGAACCAGGGATTGAGAATGACCCGTATCACAATGCAAAGTTGGAAAGCTTGATCCGAAGGATCAAAGAAGGCACACGTGCGATCCATCTCAAGTCAGGTTTGCCGCACGCCTTTTGGCCGAGGAGCATCGAGTATTTTGTTGTAGCGCATGCAATCACACATCCATGTCCTGTGCATCCGAACGAGACTCCTGAGTCCAAAGCGTTGAAGGAAGGGAAGACCTGTTATGAAGTTGCTTCAGGTAATGTTTTTGATGGGTACCGGATTCCTTTTGGTGCATTAGTTTGGTACAAACCACCCAAGCATAGAGAACTTCCTGCCTTTGACCCAAGGACTTTTCCTGGGATCTTTTGTGGATGGCGAATCGACAACGGGTATAAGTTCAGAGGTGTGCATTTGGTTTTGGATTATGAAGCTGTTCGCACCAACAAGAAAGGTTGTGAGAAACCAATCCAAGTGTATACTAGTGAGCTTGTGAAACCAGAAGTGTTCATCTTTCCTTTGGAAGAGGCTGCAAATTCACAGCTGGCATTGTTTAAAGCAGATCGGGAGTTGCTGAGCATTGATCCCAGAGAGTCGTTGCCCTTTGGAGAGGATCCTCCCGAGCCAGCCAAACGCAAACGCAGGCCTTATGTAACATTGGAGAGATGCATTAGGTTCGGAAAGACAGTAGGTTGCAAAGGTTGCGACAGAATCGCAGAAGGCGTGAGGCACAGCGATGAATGCCACGCAAGGATTGGCAAGCTCTTGGAGGACGAGAGACTAGCCAAAGAGTCAGATTCGAAGAAAGACAAAGAGAAATCGGAAGCCGCTGTGGACATTTCGATGCACACCTTGAAGGACAAATGTAGCCGCCAAAAAGTCAAAGAAAATCCCACTGTCCTGCCTGAAGGTCACGAGAGTAAGCTACAGGCTTCTAACGTGGATTGCTGTAATGCTGAGGCACTGAATGACTATTGGGACTTTGATGAGGCCAAAGTCGCATGGAAGAGAATCCATGTCCGTCCGAGGAAGCGTTTGTTCACACCGCTTGGAAATGACTGTCCTTTTGATTCGTTCGAAGTGACAACAGAACGTCAAACTGTTTGGACTTGTAGAAACAAGACTTCACTGTTTGCAGATGATTGGCAATCCATGTCACCGAATAGGCGCATTTGTTCAAGAAGTTGGGTAGGATGCACATACTTCTTCCCAAAGGAGAAACCTGAAAATGTGAAAGCAAGAATCATGACCATGACTAGCAGTGTCGAGAAAAAACCCGCTCGAGGACTTGATGCTGTCACGTCGATCCTTGGTTTGACTCCGGTCCCTGCAGAAGTCAAAAACGTTCAGACATTGAAGCCACCCCGTGAAAGGAGGATTAGGTCCGGCAAAAGCCATGCAATGTTTGAATTCTGCTGCAGCAAAGACTCGAAACTAGGAGAAATTAATGAACCAAAGGGGGTTCCGCATTTTCGGTTGCATCGAGAACAAACCAACTTGGAAAATGAAGAAGATATCAAAAGCCTTTTATCGTTGGTAGACATGTTCAAGGGGGCTGACCTTTGGGGAAGCATTCCATGTAGTTCATGGAGTCCTTGGCAGAAAATGTGTCTGCATCGATATGGTTCATCCTACGCAAAGAAATTGAAAGCCAAGAGAAAGACAAGTAAGAAACTCTTAGCTAACTACATAAAGGTTGCCGAGAGAATTCTCCAGAACGGAGGACATGTTGCTTTCGAATGGCCCAAACATTGCGAAGGTTGGATGTTGACCGAGCTTTTGCAATTTGTCAAGAAACATGATTTGTATGAGACATGCTGTGACGGCTGTGCCTTTGATTTGAAAGACAGTAATGGAGAGCCACATCTGAAGACATGGAGAGTCGTAACCTCATCAAGAAAGTTGGCAAAAGACCTTGGTGCATACCGATGTCAACACCCAAAAGACTTTAAGCACAGTCCTTTGGAGGGTTCAAGCACAGGGAAGTCAGCCTTCTACACTGAAAGGATGGCGCAAACAATCTCGAACAGCTTGTATCCTGATGGTGATTCCGTCCCAATCATGCCGACTTGTCCGTTTGTTCAGTCAGAACATGTCCCGCATGAAATTCCCTTAGGTGTTCATCAATTGATTGATCGTCGAGATTGGGGAAAGTATCCGGGGGCTGATCAAGCTATCAAGAAAGAGTTGGATGGTCTTCTAGCAAATGAAGTTTGGGATGTTAGTAAAATCATTTCCAAAGAAGAACTGATGAAGTCGGGTGGTAAATTCAACCTAGGTCGTCTCATGACAATCCTGTCCATGAAGCACGCTGAAAGTCCAGAATTGCGAAAGTTGAAAGCCAGACTTGTGTTCAGAGGCGATCAGATAGTTGACCAAGACAACAACATCGCCATCCTACAGGAACTCAAGGTGAATCCCTCGGGAATCACGGCCATAAACTTCAACTTGAGCTATGGTGCACTTCCAGGAAATGAAAGCTCACAGTCGGACGTTGTGCGTGCATACACTCAAAGTGTCTTGCGAACTGTGGTGGACACTTGGGTGCTACTCCCACCAGAGTTAGTGCCAAAGGAGTTCGCTCACATCAAAATGCCAGTAGCGCCCCTGAAGAAAGCGCTATACGGACACCCGGAATCGGGTTTCCACTGGGATGCAAGATTCCGTGAAGTGACGGGACTCATGGGAGGTAAGGCTGACAGAGACAACCAGTCGAATTGGACCTTTGAAAATGGTCTAGTCCTCACATTGTACGTTGATGACATCTTGCTTTCAGGGCCATCAGGTTTGCGCAAAGGGTTCTGGGAAAACCTGCAAAAACACCTTGAAATAGAAGAACCAACCCCAGTGGATCGTTGTCTTGGCAGAAAGCATTTGTTCAAACGTGAAAACGGAGTGACTGAAGTTTATTTCGACATGGTAGATTTCATCAACTCAGCATGCCAAATGTACGAAAACCTGTCAGGGATGCCATTGAAAGGCGCTGCCTCTCCGTACTTGCCAGAAGGTTCCATTCCAGTGAATGAATGGGAGGAGCGCGGTGCTTTAGCAAGTGATGCTAGTAAGGTCTTGATGAAAGTCCTTTGGGCGGGCAGTCTTGCCAGGCCGGACACGGTAAAGGCAATAGGGGATCTCACCCGCCGTGTCACGAAGTGGAGTCGCGCCGATGACCGCCGCTTGCACAGATTGATGAATTATCTGTATGAGACCAAGGCGTTCTGCCTGAAAGGCACAATCGCAGATCGTCAGGAAGACCTGCAACTGGTCTTGTATACCGATGCGGACCACTCAAGCGCGGTAGAGGATGCAAAGAGCACCTCCGGTGGTTTGCTGTGTCTGCAAGGACCGGCGTCTTACTGGCCACTGTCGTGGCACAGTAAGAGACAGGGTGCCACTGCACGGTCGACCACAGAGGCCGAGATCATATCACTTGCCCACGGCGTATTTGACGCTTTGCCAGTTGCCGAATTCGTTGAGGAAGTATTTAGAAGAGAAATTGAATTGGTGTGTTTCCAGGATAACAGCGCCGTCATAACCATATGCGGCCAGGGCTATAGCCCCAAGCTCCGACATGTTTCGAAGCACCATCGTATCAACCTCTCTTCTCTATACGAAACGTTCTCGAATGGCAGTGCCAAATTGCTTTATATAAAAACGGACCATCAAAAGGCTGATCCCTTCACGAAACCGTTGCCGGTTTCCAAATGGAGTCACGCCTTGGAGCTTTTAGGCGTAGTGGATCCAAATCTCTCGAGGCACCCATCTTCCACTAAAGATGTTAATGTGTGAAGGGGGAGGAGAGAGACATGGGGTGAAACCACCACCCCTAATCCACTAACAAAGCACCCTGGTCGATGCATCTGGCACGCCAGGGGAAGCAGTCCTTGAAGCAGTCCTTGAACAACCAAAGCAAAGCATCTCTGCAGGCAAGATTCGCATTCGATGTGTCACCAAGCACTGTTGAATTGAGTCTCACATGACATGCAAGTCATAGGAATCTTAATGAGTGTAGCCTTCACATGATCCAGTCATTGACGTTTCACTTTACCGGACATGTTTGGCTCAAGATTGTGGGAAAAAGGGGCGGCTGCTGTGTTCTTTTGTGTCCGACGAAAACGGAAAACGAAAAACACTGGTGGTTTGGCGGTTCTTCCATTTTCCTGGCAAAGGTAGCCATTTTTAAAACGTGGACAACTGGCATTCTCCTGACGAGCTGAAACTATCCTACATCATCCCACCATCTATCCACCTCTCAACACAGCTGAGGACTTCCGAGTCCAACTCAACCCTCAGTGTTGCCAGAGGTTGTTGAAAGATGTTGGAAGAAAGACAAATTACGTCCAGAACGGCACCAAACATCAAGAAACCAGGACATGGTAAATTTGATTGGTATGCTAGGGGATCGGGCTTTTCACATTTGCATATCACTATGTCGGGTAGCTGCCAAAGTCTAGAGTCCAAGTTGCGTCATGGTATGCGCCAATGAAGGACAATGGAGTCCTTCGACATGGAGTCCACGTGAAAATACCCATCCGGCATAGTTGGTTCTATACTATACGGGTCTATATAGACAATTTTGGTCATGTTCGAATTGAAGAGTTATAGTTTTGGGCACCATGATTCCTGTTTTCTTTGCTGTCGAACGGTGCCTATTTTTTTGGTGGCGTGGGTTTAGTTCACCTAGCCTTCAATATCGCCCAGCCCATTGACTCTCCCAAAATGGGTGTCATGAAGATACGGACATCGATGTTGATTCGGTTGTGAGGTGAGATGGAAGTCTCCCTTCTGTGAGATTTCTCAGACAATTGACAATGGGTTATGGTTAATTCATTGTACTCTGGCCAAACCCTTCGGGGCTTGTCACCGGTTTCCCGTTTTCTCGCCAGGAGCTCATCGAGGCTTTGCTCCATGCTGGAGTCGTCATGGCTTCAGCTTCGAGGACCGATGGAACTGATGAAGATCGACGCACCACGTGACATGGTGGCGTTCGTCTCCAAAGACGAAGGGAGGAAGCAGGTATGACACAGCTAAAAAGAAGAAAAGGAAGTGAGGTTAACGACTCAGCTAGGTCCCTTTGGAAGATATTTTCAAGATCTCGCAAGCAACAAAAACAGGAAGACTAAGGAGTAAGGCCAGGAGCCCCTAGTAGGTTCTTGTTCCTAGTAGCTTCTTGCTACTAGTAGTAAAGTCAGGAGCCCCTAGTAGCGTCCTTGCTACTAGGGGCTCCTGTTCCTTCTCTCTCATTTTGCAAGTTTTTCTGACCCTCATTCTTCCACATCTCTAGGGAGGATGACCCCACACCCTTTGTCAGCTAATGTCTCCGTGAAAAAAGAATGTTGCAACACAAACAGCTAATTTCTCTGCCGCATGCCGATTTCTCTGGACATGTGCCACCAAGTAGTTGGACCATTTGCATCTCAGTATCCCGTGCGCAGGACTGCTGTTTGGAGAATCCAAAGAGCTCCTGCTTCGATGCCATCTTCACAAAGGACTCTGTGATGGGTTTGGAGAGGTTGCAATTTACACATTTGAGCACATTTACTAGTAACAAACATGCTGTAAACAAAGAATACACACACAGGTAATTTTGTTTCTTTTTGGTTTCCAAGCTGTACAGTCACGGGTAGACATAAGGGGTACGGTACAGTATGATTTGACCCAATACCACACTGCTTGCATCATGCCAAGAAACTCCTCACCACCAGGAGCGCTGCTGTGCGGAAGCGGACGACGACCCTGAGGCGTCTTCCGAAGATGCCGTGCTCGTGACGGAGTTTGAGGATCAAGTTCTTTGGTCAACATTTGGAGAACCGGAGAATCCTTGTGTCCCAACACTTAAACCACTGGCATTGCTTCTGATTGGGGAACTAACGGAAATCCACAGGTTTGACTCTTTCTTATGATTGGGTCTTGAGGGCCATGCAGCCGCAGACCTGGGCCAAGACATTCTTCTCTCCACACCAAAGTTGGCTGCGATTTACACCACCTCGTCCATTAGGTTGGAGGCCCATCGCTCTTAGGTTGGGGGCCATTGCTATTAGATGCTATTAGAAACAATAGATAAAAGAAAAGGAAGAAAGGTCTGATATAGTTTGCTATTAGGCCATTTAGCCCACCCGGCTTTCTTTGCGCGTCAGTGCTGGAGCTTTGCGCGGCAGAACGTGGCTCGAACCTTGCAGCTCATGGAAGCAAAGATGGTCTGGGAAGCCTGGAAGGTGATGGTATGATCTTTTGATCATAAATACCTTAGTTGAAGTATGTAAAGTTGTTTTTTGAATATATTTTCGGTTGTTTTTTGCCTTCCATGTATATTCGTTGTATATTCTTGCTTTTAACACTTTGCAACAAGTCGCTGCAGGTGGCCTAGCCATTTAGAGGGATCAATAACAAACCCTGAATCAGGCTGCGGTTTCAATAAAATCAGGTCATCCGAACACTTGCTGCTTGCCTCAACCATGTGCGGTTAGACGCATAAGTTTGATAAGCTGGCGCTGTGGCAGGGAACCGTTGACATTTAAGTCTTGGTGGATAGCCCTTGTTAGTAGCGATAGCCTCCACCCTAGTAGCGACGGCTCCAACCTACTAGCTTCTTGTTACTAGTAGCGATGGGCTCCTGTTTGCAAGGACTTGGAGGATCAGATTTCGTGGCCACCGCTCTTCAGCAGTTGCGAGACGGACGAGACGTACGAGACGGAGAAACATAGGGCGCGTCATCTCTGGTCCTGCTTAGTACAATCAGCTAGTGCGCAGTGCCTCCTGAACAGTAGCACAAGCAAGGCCACAGTCGGTTCAACATTCTGTCATACACTGATCGTCGTGCCGTCTTCTTCTCGGTCCCCAAAGCAAGGGAGCATTCTTTGAATACCCTGTGCACGGCTTCAGGCCATGGAGGTCATGGAAATGGCTGTCATCTCATGGTTCTGAGTTGCCTCTGGTAAGGATACAGGACATCTTAAACCACGGCGTTGCGGAAGTCGAGTTTCCACAGGCTACAACACCATCAGACTAGTGGCCCAAATTGGTCGGACCTGCAGACTGGAGCACCATCCAGGATTGAAGGAGAGGATGTTGTTCTGATGCAGATGGAAAGGGGCGGGTGGTAGAGTGGCAGCACAAAAGGAAATTGTTTGATCTCTCTCTCTCTCTCTCTCTCCCTCTCCCTCTCTCCTTCTCCCTCTCCCTCTCCTGAAACAACTGTTGTAACTTATGCCTCAGTGACAATGAGGTTCATGATTCATGCGGGTGCTGTAGCTAAGTGAAAGGGCGTCGTGCTACCGGAAATAGAAAGACACAGCGCCAAAAGGCACGCTTTCCAACAAGCCCCCAGCTATTTGGATGTAGGAAACTTATCGAATAGTCTAGTGTAGTATCTTGAATGTCTTGGAGTTCTGAGGGAGATAAAGTTGGAGACAACGCATCCCACAGCTCATCAGTGCCAAGGTAGCTTCAGCCTCCCCAGCATTTCAGATGCAGGAGCCGGTTTATTCGAGAAGTCGTCACCGTCGGGACAAGAAGAGCCAGACCAAAACATGCGCACGGAGACGCTTTGAATGAAAAGACATAATCTCATCAAAGGTAGGTCCTGAGAAGTACTTCCAGGACAGGTTTGTGAGATTTGCAGGTCGTTCCGTCAGTTTGGACATATCATCAACAGGTCGGTCATCCAAGTCTGTCTCCATGCCGTCGAGGCGGATGCTATGCGTCTCTACAGTGAGGACGATGGGTGCGCTGAAGTCGAGTTGGTGTTGACTTCTGTGTTTTTGGGTCACTGGGTGTCGACACTGGAATCGTGTTTCACCATCCACGGCTTTTTTTGGAGAACTGGGTGTGAATCAAAAGCCGGTGGCCTGGTTGTCCTCTCAGAATCTTGCAGCTGTTGAGTGTGTTCAATCATAAGGATCTCAACTGAGTGACTGAGTAAGATTCTGTTTGTTGCGTGTTCGCCAAGCGCCATGCAGCGCCCGTTAGGCTGCTCTATACCTTTTGCTGCATCGGTTTTCACAATGAATATTGCTGGGGCCATGCGGTACATCAGGCAGGTGGACTTTGGACAGTACTTGTCAGAGAAACCTGTGCACATTCGTTCGAGTTCAAAAGGCGCTGGACGTCTTCCCACCCCTCATGACCCATCCATGTTCATGTACTCACAAAGGAACCGGTCCTTCTCACCCACACGCACCACGCACGCTTTCCTGGCAGGCGTTAATTCCCGATCCCGATGCTTGGGAAGGGGCCCGGATGCCCATGATGCCCATGGCATGAGCTAATTTGGAAGAGCGAAGCCGAACCAAGCAAAGCAGCAATAGCCGAATCAACCAAGGAAAGCGAGCCGGGGACACTTGTGACTATTTGGATCTCAACAGATTCAGTTCAATGAGCATGAACCAATGGATAGATACTCGGAAGTACTTGTAGAAACATCTAGTAACAAGAATGAGCTAGAAGTTTAACTAGAGGCAACTTGTAGTTGAGGAACGAACTTTATTTTCACGTTTCTGGACCACCTCTGCGTGTTCGGTCTCACGGAAAGAGCAGGAACGGTATCACTTGGTCTCACCCTGAGGTCTCAGACATTACCCCGTGGCCCATGCCTGAGACGGTCCTGAGACTTCCTGAGACGGAGAGCTTGGACGACAATTCCACCAAGCTCATCGAGGGATGTAATGATTCATGATTGCACTCCTGTGAAAGAGCCAGGCAGCCAGGCCATTACAACCTTCATTGGGAAGTTTGGTCCTCAAACCAGACTCAAACACTTTAATGCCTCACCAGGTATCCCAGATGTTGCTTTCCCCGGCTACGTGCGATGTTGAAGGCCGGATGGAAGAATCGCTAAGGGAGCCGTATCTCAGCGACAAAACCTCGTCCCATTTCCTATATGATTTGTGGGAAGAAACCACACCCTAGAACTAGCCTTTTGGGGTGGTGAAATATGTTCACCTCGAGATGGGCTTCTTACTGTAGATTAAGGCTAAGGTATTGCCTGAAATGCTTTTGCACCGGAAAAGAAAGGGTGGATAAGCCAACTTCTTACATGTTGGAATCTGAGCAGTGTTATGGTTTGGGCTAGAAGTTCCACTCCTTAAGTTTACACAGGAGATTCCATGGAGAGGAGTCCCGATGCCCAGGCACCAATCCCGCACTGGATGCAGCTCCAAATTGACAGGAATCATCCTCAGAAGAGCTCAAATCATGTGGATGTGGTTCCGCAGCTCTCCGACTGCGAAGTGGACATACGAAGTCAAAATGCATCTGTGTTCCATGTGTTCACCATTTTTGCTGCAAGTAGAAACATCAAGACAAAACATGCAACAGGAAGATTCATATACACAGCAAGAACTGTTTTTTCTTGGACGCTGCTGCTCCAGGGACCTTCGTGCAATGTCAGGGGACCACCCCGGCGTGCCGTGGCCGTGCTGACGGCTGGCTTGGCTGTCACGTTGATATGCTTGTCAATCCGAGGGCAATGGATCTTCATGCGTCTTTGGTACATCGTTATTTAATTTTCAGTTTACGGGCAGTTTGGAGACAGAGAGGCAGCAATAACCGGGTGGCTCTGCTGGGATCCCGAATTTCGGGTGACTCTGTTCTTCCCTTCGTCCCTTTATAAGGATAACCAGCCGTTAGGCTGGGCTGAAGTTGTTCAGGTGAACGAAGTACATTCTGGGTGTGTTGAAGGTTTTGAGTGCCGCTGCTAATGCAAGCCAGATGGCATTTCCAGCATCCTTGAAAGATCATCAATGAACATATTGAGAGGGGTATGCACATCGCTGTGTGAAAAGTTGCATTATTTTTGGTTGGTTCGAAGCGCAGGGGATGACGGGGTCTCCTCACGCCAGGCCAAAGGAAGCCTGGACCCCCAGGGATGACATTTTGCCGCAGGTCTTGTTTTCATACTTTTGTCTTAGAGCGCGACTCATCTACAGCACCTTTGTCGAGTTATATAGTCCAGTTACTGATCGATGCTTTGCAGTTTGGCAGGCTCCAGCAAAGGGAGAGCAATGTTGGCCTCGATTTTGCTCCAGGCTCTACCATTTACATCAAGGAAACACCAGTTGCATCACGGTTGGCGATTGACTTTGAACCAGTGCACCACATTTTGGGTGCCTTAGATGAACAAGTGCATGCCAAGAGTCCAAGAGAAAGTCATGAAAAGAAGGTTGATATAGACATAGACTGACTGCAAGATCTGCTATGGCGCGTCCATGGCCGTACAATCCTCAGCCATCCTTCCCGCCACTGCCGCCCTCCCCCGGTGGGAGCGGTCCAAACGGCCCTGGGAGTCCCAGCCTGCGTGATGCGCTTCGAAGCATCGCGCGTGAGGCCAGCGTGGGCTAAATGCCCAGTTTATACATACAATTTTCAACATTTCAGGGAGGAGGAGACACAGGTTTACAAGCATTTTGAGCATAGTTTACATGGGTGCCTTGACAGAACACCCTCCTTATTAAAGCAGATGTGTTTGAGAATGTCTGAGACATGCCAAATCAAGTTTGCATAGGGACTATGTTTGATCGACCGTTTCTTGCATGTCCCACAGGTCATTTCTCCGGAATTGCACCCAATGGGCATCCCACCGTTCAGGTCAACCAAGTCCCGATTTTGGCCCCATAATCCGTAGCTTCGTAACTAGCTACCTCTCCCTACCTTAGCGGCCTACCCCACCCCGCCTGGGCCCCTGGGAGGTCGAAGGTGCACGGCCGGAGACCACCCCGGAGCCACGCTTGGACGTGCGGCGGAGGAGGTTGGAGATGGCCAGGGCGGAGATGGGCGAAAGCCCGAAGTGTCAGAAATGCGAAGGGCTTGAAGCTGGTGACTTGGACAGACGAGTTAATTTCTTTTTTGGTTTGGAAAGCACCTTTTTTGGAAAGACCTATCGAAAGGTCGTTGTGTTTCTTATCTTTTCCATTTTCAGTTGAGGCTTTGTTTGGTGATGGGGTTGTTAGAGAGCTTCCTCGAGGCTTCTGTCTTTTTCCAACAAGTCCGCCAGTCAAGGTCATGCAGAAGCTTCTGCCAACTTCTTCAAAGAGATTGAGCACCTTCGCAGGGCTTTAGGGAAGTTGCTGGAAGGTGCCACCAAGTACATGCCTGCAAACGTCCTTCGTGCACTGAAGGAATCACTTCAGCTGGATGTACGGTACCTCACCAAGCCTGAAGAGGGTGAAGGTGGGCCATTACCTCCTGCACCGGTGGTGGAAGTGGTGGATCAGAGTGAGCTTATTGAGAAGCTTCGGCGGCAGATAGCTGAACTGGAGAAGGAGATCCTTGATCAGAAGTACACCATTCAGGACCGGGAGAGTTTTTATCCAGATGATTCCAGATGTCCTCCAAACTTGTTCCTTGGCACTTTCATCTCAAAAAACCATCAAACATGTCGTCAAGCAGCAAGAACAGCCTCTGGAGTTTTTTCCTCACACCTCCCATGCTTTTGACAGCTTTCCCGTCCAAGCACCCCTCACCAAGCGCCACCACAACCTACCAGGACTTAGAAGAGGAGTTGCGGAAAGCTCAGGAGGCCTTGCGAGCTGCCGGGGTCCAATCAGTGGCCACTCCCAAGGCGCGGCCCAAGCGCCAGCTGCCGGAGAGCAAGGAGATTCAGACCGAGCCCTGGGCGCCCTTCCCGGCGTGACATGGATGAATTCGAGGAGAGGTGGTGGGGGTCCATAGTTTGCTAGTAGGGTGGAGGCCATCGCCATTAGAAACAAAGGAAAACGAAAAGGAAGAAAGGTTATAGTTTGCTAGTAGCTGCTTTCCAGACACATAGACCTGGAAGGGTGAGGCCGGCGAGGCAATATAGACCCTAAAGCACGTTGAGCCAGGGGTCAACCTTTTCCTCCGTTTGTGTCGTCCCGGTTGACCCCTCATGAAAAGGAAAGACCAGGTGACTGTGAGCCAAATCCAGCTGAGGAAGCAGGAGGTGGTGAAAGTCGTGGATCCGAAATCGGCAGTGGAGACCGAGCCGGGTCCTCCGAAGGTCAAGAAGGAGCGCCCTAAAGCCCCAGTGGCGGTGGAAAGCGACAGTGATGAGCCACAGGCATCGGGATTAAGTTGTATGACGCAGTTTATTTTTTTCAACTTTGCTTGTAAATGTGATTGATGGCCATGGGATGGTTCCTTCACCCTTCATATCATCGCCCTTGTGAATTCGACCTTGCATGTTGTTTGTTGGGTCGTTGCGATGCAGGTCGACGCCGGAAAGAAGTCGGGGAAGAAGGTCGTTGCCAAGAGGGAGGAGGTGCAGGTTGTGTCCACAGGGATCGACCCTGATGTGGTCAGGCGGCTCCAGGCTGAGTTGGACCTTCTGAAGATCAAGCTAGCTTCTGCCGAACGAGAGCTGGGCAAGATGGATGGGCTGAAGAGTGAGATTGAACGTTTGAAACAGCAGGTGAGCGACAAAGACAAAAGAATTGAGGAGTTAGAGGAAGAACTCAAGAAGCTGAAGGCCAAAAAGCCGCCGAAAGCTGAAGTAAAAGAGGAAGTGAAGAAAGAGGTGAAGCCTCCACCAGAGAAGAAGGAAAAGAAGAAGGAGAAGAAGTTCAAGCAAGATGCGCCGCCCACTCCGAAGACCCCAACACAACCGACAGTGGCTGTGAAGGAGGAGGAGACACCTGTAGAGCCAGTGCCCGTGGAGGAAGAGCCCGTAGAGCCGCCCCCAGAGGTCTCCTCAGAAGGTAGCGAGACGGAGAGTGAGGAAAGTCTTCCTCCAAAAACCTTCGAGGATAAGTGCGTTGGCAACGGCCCAGGAGTTCAGTTCTTCGGAATGGGCGTTTCCAGGATCAATACAGGATATATATATATATATCCAAGGCCACTTGGGGCATGAAAGACTTTTCCTGTTCCCTTTTGCAACTCCCCTGGTTTCACCCACCTCCCAGGAGCTTGGGGTTTGATTGATGAACCCATCTTCATCAAGGGGCGTGGCCTACAGAAGCAAGAAGGGGAGTTGAACAAGACAGGGCGATGCTATGAGCGCTACATGGTGGAACAGCCCACTTTGGGACTGACCAACACTCCATCTTTGTCCACTATTGATGTGGATGCCACGTTGGCGCGACTGAAAGGTTCTCGTGGGGTCGGCGTCTACTCGAATGGTGCGATTCTGGGCGGAGTTCAGTGTGCAAGCACCTGGGCAGGCAGCAGATCCACAGGTGGGCGGTGCCAAACGCCAGATATTTTTGGATTGCCACTTTTTTTTGGGGGTGGGAGGATCCCTGATATTTTTTTCTCGGAATTTGCCCTTCACGACCACTGACTGGGCCATTCACTGAGTCTTGAGCTCGAAAAGACGAGTGCCCAGTCAGGTCGCTTGGAGGCGGAGCCCTACCTGACGCAGGTTTGGGAGACTCATCCCAAAGGGCACAAGGCGCCGGTGAAGCGAGAACTTATCAAGTTGGGAGCGATCAGCCCAGTTAGTCCCAAGAGCGCTACGTTGCAGTCAGTGGAACCTCGGAACTGTTGACTTAAGGCCTTTGCTTTCTTTTTCCCATTGTTTAAGGTGATTCAGAAGACTCAGCTAGACTCAGCATGTCAAAGTATGTTCAAGTCAAACACATGATAGAATATGCAGATTCAATTGCAAGGACGCCTTCGCTGCCACACAGAAGACCTTGGTGAGCAATGCAACGGTGAAGGATTTGTCAATCGATGCCACTTTGAAGGACTTCTCCACTTTGCCAAACACAGCAACTCAGCTGCTTTCGACTCAACCTGTGGCGACTCCGACAGAGACTCCGACAGCTTCTTAGAAGCGGCCGGGGTGATGTTCACGCATCGCCTGCCAGGTTGGACTTGTAGGTCAAGGCTCGCCATAGGCGAAGACCTTGCTTGGGTGCAAAAAGAGTAGAAGCTGTCTGAGAGCCATGTGAGCACATGTTAGGATTGACACAATCGTGACACAGGAAGGGGAAACCAAAACAAAATTTCTTGGTGGCATGATTAAACTTATCCTGGTAAGGACCACACTTTTGATGCACTAAGTCACAGCGTCGTGGATTACTGTAGTTCTCATGTTCTCTAAATGGCCAGGAGCACGACTTAGTACAGTAGGTGGTTGTGAATCAACAATATATATAGTGTGATATGTTCGACTCTCAGCCAAGTCTATAGTGCTTCCACAGTTAGAACCCGAAGGAGGACTGGCCTTTTCCCTGCTTGCCACCTCTGTTTGAGGTCCTACCGCATTTCGCTGGTGTGCAGGCCTGTGGAGATTGTGTAAGATACCCACAGTAGCACATGTCAAAAGCCACCTGCAAAAGCTTCATATGGTCCTGGCAGAAGGTTTTCCTGTTTTTCGCAATTGTTCTCTCTCCAAGGGCAGTGGTCTGTAATTTTAGTATCAGTAGTGTAACGGGTAGGTCCATTGCCGCCTTGCAAGAAATGATGAACACATCTTCAGGGCTTTGAAGATTAGGTTGTCTACTAGCTCTCCAATTCTGCACAACAAACCGTGTACAAAGCCACTTGACCTGCTGCCTCACAGCGATCTTAACTTACCGCCCCTTTCCGCTACGAAGGTAATTTGGCACTTCCTGAGTTGTGAAGAATTGTGGCGATGCGATCCCACAGTTGTAGACTAATGACCTTTTTAGTGCTACTCGAGTCGCTGGCAGTGCTACTGAGTCAACTTTTCCTGCTAGTTCACTCACGTCTTTGCAGGATGGCAAGCGGCCCATGAATGAGCAGAAGCGCTTCTGCCACTACCACATCTCGGGTGGAAAGGCATCATTTGGGGATGCCGTGATGCGGGATGCTGTGGTGCCTCCATACCTCCTAGATCTTTCGTGTGACCATTGTTTGTGTGGGAGGCAAATCGGGTAGATCCAACGGGCCTTTGTGTTCACCAGGTCCCTTGGTCATGGATCTGGTTCTTTCGGGTGTGTACAATGTTCAGTTCAGTGGCAAGCTTTGCAACATTTAGACTGAGGGATCTTGGTTGGGTAGCAGAGCAGCAACAAGACCTTAGGACGCTACAAAATTGCAAAATTACAATTGGTGTTCGAGCTTCTAGTAGGACAGACCAACATCACGTCCAGAGCGTTTAACCAGCCATTGTCAGCGACCTCTGCCGCCAATTTGGATTTGGCCCAAGACCCGGTGATGCTGGTGACATTCTTTTGATAGCATGGTCCGCGGGAGGCTCAAACGGGCATGTACGGCGGCTGGCTGTGAGCTGGGTTGTTTGAGCAGGGTGGTCTGAGCATTTGGGTCAGGCCATAAACAAAGAGTCGCCAACTCCAGCACTCAGCCGTACAGAGCCGTCCTTGCAAAAATCAGTCGGCATCCCTCAGTTTCCAAACGCCCCTTGTGCTGCTTTGCTGAGGTTTTGCCCAAATTGAGGCCAGTGGCAGCGTGTGCTACGCCATTCTGCAGGCTGTGGCCTTGCATTGCGGTTTGGGCCGGGCAAAGCTCATCACTAGAGTGTTCAAGGCCTTTGCTCCGAAGCAGCAACGCCATCACATGGCAAGCGTTTTGCCAAGTCCAATTCTCTAACACTCCAACAAGAAATGAACAGTATTGAAGGAAAAGCCAACATTTCCCAATGTATGGGCACTATATAACTATCGTAGAATCTCATGCCCATGACAACGCCGGGCTATCAAGGTGGCCCTCTCTAGTTCCTGGGACCCCGTCCACCGATGGTGTCATCCCAGGCTGATGGGTCGGCGCCTCAGGGTCGGACCATAGACTTGGGGGGCGGAGCGAACAGAAAAAGCCGGTAGCAAGCAGAGAAAACCGGTAGCGACCTGCCGGGTGTTCATCATGAGATTTTCCAAGTGGCTTTTCAGACGGGTCTCAATGGTCTGAAGCGCCGTCGGCCAGTTGGTGGTTGGTACACCGCGCACATATTCTAGAACCTCGTTTCGCTCACCTTCCACGATTGGATCCAGAGAGGCCGTGCAAATATGTTGAACCAATTTCTGGTGGGACTTGGTTCCCGAGTTGGAAATCCTGCACCTGTGTTTTTGAAGAAGCTACGAGTAACAAAGGGGATCGCTACTAGGAGCAAGGACGCTACTAGAAGCTCCTGGCATCTAGGAACAAAGACGCTACTAGTAGCCATTTGAGATTAGTAGTAATGCCCTTGTTACTAGTAGCAAGAACGCTACAGTAACAACCGAACTCAAAGAATCAGAAGCTGGTCCTTCACCTATTTTTTTCCATCGATCAAGATTCCAACGAAGGATGACACTTCAGGTCCTTCCATGCAGCGGAGGGGAACCCCTTCGATGGCCTCAAGGATACGGGCCGGAAGGTGGGGATCCAGCGATGGATTCGGAGCGGTGAATCCGATGGATTCGGGAGTGCCCGATTTGGAGTCACAGGATACTGATTGGAAGGGTTCATGGAGAGACAGGAGGATGATGTTTCTATGTGGGAGACACAGGAATTTTGCTGTGAGAGGTGACCGTTGACCGCTTCCTGCCACCGGTGAAGCCTCAGGACGGGTTTCTGGACCTTAGACGTTGATGAATCTGTTACAACGATTGATGCTAGGATGGATGGGAATATCGTATGCAAAAAAGGGATTTCGGCTGCGGCTGCTTCTGAAACGAACTCAAAGCGTACGATAGGTTCAGTCTCCGTGACGATTTCCACGTTCTTTTTGAACTATATATGCAGTCTATTGGCAGTCTATGCACTTGTTCTCTTTTCGCTGTCTAGAACAGGACATCATTTGCATTGGTGGGACAGCCCAGACACGCTCGGCAGTCACTTCAAACCAAGAATCACTTTCAACTGAACATGCAATGTCAAGAATCGGCTGCCGTGTTGCTCATGGAAAGGATCGTATGAAGACCTAATCCAAAGGATCATTGGTTGTGGGTGTTCTCAGGAGTAGGGAACGCAGGACCGGTTTCTGTGGTCCTGGCATCATACTCCCTGTCGGTCTTGGCCAACAGGGCAACCGTGTGTGTAGCAGGCAGCAGGTCGGCCAACAAGTCGAAGCAACCGGGTCTTTCCTTTTGGTTCCTGCTCTAGTGGAAAGACCAAACATGTCCAGCAGCTCTCGGTCTGAGACCCATCTTGCTATTTTGATGAACCCGAGGTCTGAACTACCGGGCGCATGCAGATGAGCTGAAGCTCCCATATCCGAAGAATCCAGTGGCAACTCGGTTGCTTTCGATGAGCGTTTCATCGTTCCAGGTGAGGAGATTCTCGGAGCAACAGCTGGTTCGTTCATTTGACAGTCCTTTCTCCAGATGTGATGCCTGGGGAGTGTAACTCCACAGAACCCCTCAGATCCAACTGAGTGGGCCCACTTCCTGTTGGAGAGACTCTCCTGGTTTGGGATATCCAGATCCTAAGATGACCTGCTTCCTGATCTGGAGGTCTTCATGAAGCCAACCAGCTGCGCAGCTGGACATGGAGATGCCATTGCAGGGTGTCTCAGGATCGAGGGTGACGCCTGATGTGCAGGGTTTTAACTTCTTTCAACACCACCCAGAAAGGTCAACATCTGTGGTTCAGCCTCCAGAAAGAGTCATATTGCAAAAGCAATCTGCCTTTGACAAATCTTCTCTTCTCCTGGGTGTGCGGAGCTTGCAAGGCTCCCAAGTGTGCCACGACTTTGTACCAGGCTTTTGTGACATATCGCAGCAATGCATGGTTTTTCTGTAAGTTGCAAGTTGTACCCACCCCTTCCAGACGCGGGCTCGATTGACTGGAAGCATGCACTACTATGCACTGCTAGTGTTTGATTTGAGCGATACAATGGGATCCCTCTGGAGAGCACCCAATCGGCAGCTGCCCAGCACCAGGCGCAACCTCGTGTGTCAGAAAAGATGGACTACGAGGCAGTCGCATTACCGTACCTCCAGTCTTTTTTTGGGATTCCGCCAGCCATTGGCATGCCACTGGACCTGGTGGGATGCCTGGGAATTGAGCATCTTCACACCATGATCTGAGTAAGCTTGAGTCAAATGGCCAGAACAGGGGTTGCAAGGTACTCCAAGTCTCATGGTGCTATAAAGCCGGTTGAAGGAATCCACTCTTCGTGGAAGAAATGCAACACCACTAACCGTACCAAATTACCAAACGGGTATTTGCGCGATATGCCTATGATGTCCTGATGACACACTGGTGCCAGGTTTCTTCCTCCAAAAGCTACAGGTTTCTGAACCGCTACAGCTCTTGGGGATCGAAGGTTTGGCTCAAGCGTTGGGCTTCGGACCTAATCAATCATAGAGTTTGACGACTAGGGTCAAGCGAGGCCAGCCAATTGCTGCAGTTGTAGGCTCTCTCAACCATTTTTGTTTCGTTGTTTTATGTTTCTAGCGGGTTGCTATATAGGTTTTACCTTGTTTGAGCCCATGCTGAAGTGCGACATAGTCCAGTCGTTTAGAATGGGCAAGGCTCTTTGATGTCTTTCCATGCGGCAGATCACTTCATGGGCTGCAAGCCTGGATTTGCTTTCAAGTTGGACCCCTTGGGCTTGGGCTACTATGCTGATGACCTCCCAAAAGCGACGGAGGCTTGGAACTTTGGATCTTCGCAGGTGTTCGTGAAGGTCGATGTAAGTTGTGGTGTGGGCCACACTGGCCTGCGCATTTGGCCCGCGGCACGAGCCATGGCCCATCTTCTGGCCGAATCTCTGCAACCAAGCGCTTCCACCGATCTCCCCAGTGACAGACCGGATGGGCCGAGAGTGAATCTCTACTCACCGACACCCGGAGGATCTCCGTGCGCCGCTCGCGGTGGTTGGGATCTCCACCGGCAGCTGGACGTGCGATCTCGTGGCCGTGCGTTGGAACTGGGCGCGGGCTGTGGCTTGGTCTCCGCGCTGCTGGCGTCGCTGGGTGCCGACGTCACGGCCACGGATGGGGCTGCGGTGGTGGTGAGGCGGCTACGTGAGACCTCCGAGTTGAATCAGAAGCCCTTTAAGGTCCGAGAACTTGGGTGGGACGGTGAAGATGGTGCAGTTGGCGAAGAAAGGCTTCCGTGTGAGACTGGGGATGGGAACCATGGCGATACCTACGATGTGATTTTGGGGGCTGATATCACCTACGATTGCAAGCCAAAGACCTTGGAATCTTTGCTGGACCTCATCTCCAAGCTCTCTGGCGAGGAGACCCTGACACTTTTGGCTCACGGCCTGCGCAACGTGGAGCATGCGATGTTCTTGTGGTCCAAGTTGACTGAACGTTGGAACGTGCAAGTACAGCCGCCACCACCATGGAATGTTGATGAGAACGAGGACTCTGTTCTGATTTTTGCATTTGAAGGTCCGGGTCGATGCAGAAAAAGGTGACCAAGTTTCTTTTGACACCCACTTTGCATGCACCATTCCGATTTCCGGAGCCAGGTAGAATTAGCGGTGGTGATTGGTCGTGAGTGCAAGGCCGGATGCCAGTCATTTGTTGTCATCACTTGTTTTGAACGAGGCCAACCAATTTCAATGCACCAACACGTGCAAGTGATTCTTATGACGAAGAACAGATGTTGGTGCTGTGAAGGGGGTCCAAGCACAAGGCAACGGTTTCCCGTTCGCACAAACTGTGCACCACTAAAACACACCGAAACCTTGTTCTCCTCTTCAGGCAGGGGGGAGGCCGCGTCCTGTTTTCACCTTCGGAGGATGTCACGCCAGAGCAGGCTATGGACTATGTGCTTGGGTGAGCTGGTCGGATGGACGGGCGAACTGAACCTACTTGATTGCTGGTAGCCGTTGAAAAGCACCGATAGAATAACATCGAATAACTATAACATCGAATAACTATAACATCGAATAACTATATAGCTATGAAACCAAATAACAGATGCCAGAGCTACCAGATAATCAGATAATCATCATGGCTGGAACCTATATCCTTCACAACACATCATGATCATACTGTCATCGTCACACCTCAAACACATCCGTCAATACAAAGAACTTGTAGAGAGGAAATTGCACTAGGGCACCAGGTAAGCAGAGAGCTATAATCATCAATTTTATTCAATTTTGGCAGAGAGAGAGGGGCGCATCTGAACAAGCCAGAAGGGACGCAGAATTCAAAACGAACAAGAAGTCAATCCCACCGAAAGCTTTCGCGTTCTTGGCGTACGAGAATCCTGCATTAGCTGAAATGCGGGCACCCTGCAACTACTGGGACACTCTGAATCTGTTTGGTGCTTTGCCGCTGGCACAAGTTGCTCATCCGACATGTTCTAATGGTGTGAATCTACTAAGGGGTGAGCCTTCTGGACGGTTGAACGCCGTTGTGTCACATTTGCGTTTGCACACATCGATGGAACCGCGCAGCGTGTGAATGGCTTTTCTCCACAGAGACAGCTGAACGTTTGGTTTTGGATGTCATAAGAGTCTTCCTTTGCGTCTTCCGTCATCTTCCCCTTTGCCCGCGCTCCCGGGACTGCGGGCAACGACTCCGAGGTACACCTGCGCCAACGATTTGTCCACCAGAGACTGGCAGAAGATCCCTGAACTCTCAGGTAGTCGGAGCCTTAGCCTGATGAAGACGACATGTGCGAACATCTCAGACACGGGCGTCCCTTGAAAGAACCGTCGTTTTCATCACAGCTTAAAGCATTCGTTCATATAGTCTAATCACCAAGATGTGGGCGGGGAGTTTTGTGCAGGTTTGAGGTCCCGACATACATGCCGTTCCCGTTTTGCCAGTCCTTCTCGTTCAATCGTCAAACAGTCACGAGCTGCCCACCGAAAGCGATGAGACCACAACTTTTCTACAGCCGAAAGGGTCTAAACAAACATGGTTGCTTTTGAAACAGAAGGGGTGTTGTTGGGGGCCGGTGCTGTGAATTTTACTCCCCATTCTCTACAAAACACTTGAAATGCCATGGTTGCCAAAATGACGATCTGTTGCGACTCCAAGCTCAGGCCAGTGGTGTAGATCGAAGAGCTTCGATGGGTGCACAGCTCACTTTGGAAGGTAAAGAAGCACATTTGACGTCAGAAGCACCCTGGGCCTTGGGAGCGCGGCATGATTGGTGGTAAACATCAACTTGCGCAAAGTAAGTAGCTACGTACAAAATTCCAAAGGAAAACTTGGTGTGGAGTTGCCTCTGGTGTGGAGTTGCTCCCTCTCTCAGGTTTGCGCCGATGGGCCCGGTGATTGCCACGAAGGCGAGCAGCGGCCTGTCGTCTGGAGATCAGAAAATGAGGTCCTTTGCATTTGCCTGTATTCGTTGGCACCCCATTTGCCAGTTTATCCAATCACACTGACAGAATTCCTACAGTGTTACTACCAGAACTACACTACCAGTGAAAAGCTATTCATTGGGGCGTTTGCCCTTCAACCACCGGATCTAATCTTGGCATGTTTTTCCTCTTCCCATGAGTGTTTGGGAATCCTCCGTCTTCTTTTTTCACACCCATCCGAGGTGACGCCAAAGCTGTGTTTCTTTTGCGGGCGCCGACCCAGGATGAGATTGCTGATCCCGGAGTTCTGAGGGCTTGGAGCCTCAGTTGAAAGGACAGAACTGTTGGCTTTCCTCATTGCACCAGCTTGTTTCCATAGTCCGAAGACCGAAGATCGGTATAGACAAGCTTGATTTTTTCTTTTTTTTAAATCTCATGAGGATTGTTTGCGTGGTGAGACAAGCTTGAAGGTTCATCCGTAACCTGCACAGACTCTTCAGATATCTTCAGAATGTTTGGGCTCTGAAGTCCCAAAAAGATCAGTGATTCCGTCTCCTCTCCACGGAAGATCGCCCGGCTTCTCAGATCGCCGTCATGGCACCCCTCGCCTCCGTGCAGGGGCAGGTGAAGGCGTTGTTCTCCCGAGCGTTGAAGGATGCCTTTCCCTCGGTGGAGCAAGAGGTCTTGGTGACCAAAGGAAACCCCAAGTTTGGTGACTACCAATGCAACAATGCGATGGTGATCTTCAGGGAGCATGGATCCGTCTTGGGCTTTGAGAGCCCCTTGAGTGTGGCCGAAGCTATAAGGAGCTCGCTGCCATCCAACGACCTTCTTGGCGATATCTCTGTGGCGCCCCAAGGATTCGTCACTGTCAGGCTCAGTTCCCAATGGCTTAGCCGCCAGGTGAGTGAGTGCTTCTTGAGTGGTGAGCTGTCATACTCAAAGGTCCCGCGAAAGAGGGTGGTGGTGGACTACTCCTCCCCAAACATTGCCAAGGAAATGCACGTCGGTCATCTCAGGCGGAACAATGACACCCAAATCCAACTCAAGCGACTTTAGTGACTGGGATAGGGTGAAGGTTTGAGCAAGCTCCCCCTTGTGCCATTTGTGCCATTGAATCCCACGACAGGGTGTTCATTTTGGCCAGTGTTTTGCGCCATGCCCTGAAGGCCAACCATCTTGGGTGAATCCATCCGGCGAGTGCTTGAATTCAGCGGGCATGAGGTCCACGGCCTGAATCATGTGGGTGATTCTTGGAATGAGTGGCTGGATGTGGCTGTGTGATGTGTGGGTCAAAATCCCATGTAGCTCCGAAAGAGTAACCTCACCTGAAAATGAACAGAATCGTCTCCTTGGGATGGACACCAGGGCTTTTGGGAACCTGGGTGTGGACCTGTTTTGACCGGTTTTGACACATCTCCACCCTTTTTGGTCTCTCAGAATCTTGGGACCAGGTCCCTAGTGCCGGAACCAGCGGTTTCAGGATTGGGGGACGCAGTTTGGGATGCTCATTGAGTACATGAAGGAGGCCTACCCGAACTTTCAGAAAGAACTTCCCGATGTGCACGATCTACAAGAGTTCTACAAGCCCAGGACTCACGACCTACGCGACATGAGTCTCGGTCAAGGACATCGAGGTTGTGGCCGCAATGGTTCGCTGGTTGTCACAGTTGTCTCGCTCAAGGAAGAGTTTGGCCGTGTTGTTCGTCACCCTTGCATTTTGCCGGGTTCGATCGTCGCAGGGTCCTGGAGGTTAGGAGGTCCTTACCAAGTACGCGATTCCTTCTTCACCTGCCCCCGTTGTTCTTTTTTTTTCAAGTTTCTCCTGCTCGAAATCTCTTCGTGGTTTTCGTCGAGACGGACAAGGCCCCTTTCGTGAAGGCGTCCAAGAAACGATTTGACGAAGATCCTGACTTCAAGAGCCGAGCGCAACGGGCGGTGGTGGACCTGCAAGCAGGCGATGACTTTGCACACTCCGCCTGGCAGAAGATCTGTGACGTGAGCAGGTGGAATGCCTGGGGAAGACAGTCATAAGACATACTCTACATGAGTTTATAGCTTGTCAGGTTTGAGACAGTGTGAAACATTGGTTTCATGGCTTAAGGGTTCTTGAACCTTGCTTTAAACATTGGTGATGGCCCTAGGCGATCCTTCGAGAAGATCTACCAGCGACTGGACATTTCCATTGAGGAACGAGGTTGGCCAGAGGGAAGAAATGCCCGTTTCATCCCTTTGTTGGTAGATTCTGCAGGTGATCAGCCTTACTTTCTCCGGGCTGCTCCCAGCTGTGGAAGGTAAATGATCAGACCCCGGATCGGACATCCTGCAAACATCCTTCACCCCAAGGCCCCAAAGCCCTGGAGCAGCCCGGTTTAACCCGGGCACCACGGCTTCCAGGTGAATCCTTTTACAATGCGATGATCCCACCCTTAGTCGATGAGCTGAAGCTCCGGAAGATTTGCCAAGAAAGCGCTGGAGCGATGTGCATCTTCACACCAAGCGTCTCAACGTATCCCTTGATGGTGATCAAGTCAGATGGAGGCTTTGGATATGACTCCACGGATTTGGCCGCGATTTATCACCGATTACTGGTGATGAGGGCTGACTGGATTGTTTACGTCACTGATTTGGGCCAGGAACAACACTTCCACATGATCTTTGACGCGGCCGAGCAGGCTGGGTGGCACCGGCCGCCACTGACAAGGTGTGACCACATGGGATTTGGCGTGGTTCAAGGAGAGGACAAGAAGAGGCTGAAGACAAGGCCAGGAAGGATTTTGTGCGGTCCTTTTGCATGGTCATGAGCAGTAGGGTACATGGAAGCCAAAAAGGAGTGTTAGCGAGTATATAAGTGTAAAGGGTGGGGGACCAATCGGGACCAACGTGAACTGAAAGCTGACCTATGAATACTTATGGCAGATATCCTGTAATATCCCGGTCTCCTACCCTTTGAGTGTATTGGGATGTTTCCAAGACTTCCATCAAGAGAGGATAGCTCATGATAGCTCCAAGTGCATCCAAGTGCAATATCTCCTTTTATAAATCTATGCATTGCGACCGCATAGGGGGCCACGCTAAATCTCCGGACCCAGTTGATCCAGTTGACCCCAACAAGCTGCTGCTGCTGCTCCTACTACTGCTACTACTGCTACTACTACTACTACTTCTTCTTCCTCCTCTTCTTCTTCTGCCACTATCACTTCACTACCACTAGCACGACCACAGTTGCCATCGCAACTGGATCAACCGGGTTCAACCGGGTCAACTGGGTCAACTGGCACCACAGATTGACCGGCCCCCTGTGCCGGCGCACTCCTGTTGCCCTGTGTTCTCAGCTTTCGTCACATGCTCGTGGAAGGTCAGGTGATACCGTGAAGCTCAGTGACTTGCTGGATGAGGCTGTGCAAAGGGCAGCGTTTGAGGTCAGGAAGAAGGTTGAGGAGCAGCAAAAGGAGGGCGGCGAGGCTTTTTTGACTGATCCCAAGGAGCAAATGGAGGCGGCCGAACGCCTGGGCATAGCTGCAGTGCGATACTTTGATATGAAACAGAACAGGACCAGTAATTATGTCTTCAACTGGGACAGGATGCTGGATCCGAAGGGCAACTCGGCTGTCTTTCTCTTCTATGCCTACGCCCGGATTCGATCCATTCAGAGGAAAGCTGAAGCAAGTGGTGCTGGTGGTGCTGGTGGACCGAGTTCGTTCCATGTGGAGGTGATTGATCCGGCTGAGAGGGATTTGGCCATGAAGCTTGTTCAATTTCCGGATGTCATCGAAACCATTTTAGGTGACTTGCACTTGCACCACTTGACAGACTATCTCTGGGAGCTTTGCAATATACTAACGACGTTCTACGTGAAGTGCAAGGTCCTTGGAGAGGAGGCCCAAGACAGCAGGTCGGGAACACCAACATGAATTAGTGGACTGGAGGGCGACCTGTTTTATGACTCATGACATCCCGAAATCAAGGAATTCAAGTTTTTTACAGACTCAGAATATTTTAATTTCGCAATGTTGCAGTTTGAGTATATGTGTATATATAAACACACTATATAAACTATTAATATCCGTATCATCATCATTAGTGGTTTGAATTTTGAAAGGACCAAGGACCAATGAGTTTCTCCGCGCAGGTTGCTTTTGTGCGAGGCCACACGGAAAGTGATGCTGAAGGGTTTTGAGCTCCTTGGCTTTGTACCTTTGGAGAAGATCTGACCGGCAAGGGGCAAATGTACAGATGTACATCCTAGATGTACTTAAGGTCGATTTCTTTGGAGCTGAGCCTTTTACATTCTGCACAAGCAATTTCAGCGGAAACCAAAGCAAGGCATTGCTCGTGTACAGTGTACAGCAGGAAGTCAGCAACATTCTGTGAGAAAACTGCGCGCCTGGAAGCTGCAGACAGAATTCATCGCATCCCATGCTGTTCGATCTTCAGTTTTTTTGGTGCTATTCGTTTGCGCCTTCTGCGCTGGCACACCAGCCAACGAATAGGCAGCCAGACGGAACCAGCCAGACCGACCAATTCTGTCGTCAGATCGACCAAATGAGCACTGGCCACCGAACCAATGAGCCCCGACACTCGCGACACCGAGGTTCAGACCTTTGTCAACGGAGTGCAGATGCAGGACTGGACCGTGGCATCCTGTGTGGACCGGCGGCATCACGTGGCCGTACCGGTCTTTGAGCTCCGTGGATGGGCAGAGTGTGCTGTTGGTGTCTCAGCTCCCATTATTTTTTGGTTTTCAACTTTAAAAGTCAAACAACAAATGTTCATCAACCGGAGAAGAGAATTCCTGTTGTTTTTGTCTTTTTTTCTCCCGCACATGACTCTCCAGGACTCGAGCACCAGGGACCTCATCTTCACTGTTCCTCAGATCATCAGCTTTCTCTCCATGAGTTCCAGGCTCGAGCACTTGGGGCTTTCGTTGCATGGATGGTACAACTGACATGCCCAAAACAACCAGTAGCAATTAATGAGCAGCAGGGTTGCAATGACGAAAACCTTTCAATCGTAGTTGATATGGACAGCTCCAAACACAGGTCCACTTCAGGATTTTGACACATTTTGATCATCATTTCCTCAGTGGCTGCCGCATACTTGTTCGCCTTTTGTTGCCCACAAGTGCTAAGCGGTGAGGCTGCTGCCAGGCACTGTCATCCTGACAGGCCCGGTTTTGAGCAGCCGAAACGCGATGTTGCACGGGATGTAAGAATTGCACGGGATATCGGATATCTCTAACGGACTCATAAGCACTCTCTCTCTCTCTCATTTCCCGTTCGACAGTATTTGTTCCCCCAGTGTCAGATGCGACTCCGGGTGAAATTGGATGTTTGAGTGGTAATTATAGTGAGTATCGGCCGGCTACGAATCGCTGCAGGGCTTTGATTTGTTGACTCTGAGGCACTCCGTTTGGCTGGAATCTCAGTTTGCTTGCGAGGGAGTGTGAATGGCATAACGGAAGAGCCAACCTGAACTTTGGACATGAACCTGGACGAGTGCAGAGGGCTAGTGCGCTTTTGGGCAATCTTGATTGAGACACCATTGTGTCTTTGTCATGAACACGCAGTCGAGGAGTCAAGGAAACGAGTCCATTCTGATCTAAGACGATGTAAGAGTGGGCCTCCGCTTCCTTCAACACACCAAACAAATCCATGGTCGGCGAAAAGCCGACGCCGAGGGGTTGCAGAGGGAAGGACGCCACAGCCCTGGTTGAAGCCGGAAGCCCCATGTGTTCGAAGGTGCTGAGCGAGCATGAAGTGCAGGTTCTCACTGTGTCTTTCCACTAGGTACAAATAAAACAGAGTCTCAGACGGCTTACAATTACAATTGAGCTTTGATAGATGTTTCAATCCGTGAAGGTGAAGAAGAGTGCTCTGTGGGTAAACTGAACTACTACAGCTGATTGCTCGAGAAAGTAGCACCCACATATTAGAGCAGGCTCTTCGCCAAAGCAGCCAGCCCAACTACTCTTTGGCAGCATATTGTCTTGGGGGGGGCGAGGGTCCAGATATTGATTTAAAGCAAATCCATGACTCTTGTAATTAGTGAAGAAAGTTTTGACTGTTTTCCACCTTGAGCTGCTCAAAGTGTGTCACATTTGAGGCCGGGAGACAAAGTGGCGGTCGAGGTGGAGGGCATCGGCAGACTGGAGAACACGTTTGGGATTCTCAGCGCGTCCGAGCTGTGTACTTTTGGATTTGGGAAAGCTTGGGATTGATTTCAGGATCCGGGCTGAACAGCTCCCGATGATTCAACACTTAGTTTCTCAGAGCTTACATGAATAATAACACTTCAGTCCTGTCAAAGCTGTGTACATTTCACTGCTTTATTTATTCTTAATGAACCTCAGAATGCCCTGGCGGCCCCCAAGGATCGTCCCGGACACCTCAAGCACCAGCTGCTTCCGTGCGCAGCCCAAACTCTGAGAGGCCCGGCTTCGCATCTGTTTCGAACCACATTGAAAGGAGTGAACTGAAATAGAGAGAAAGGTCTCGTTTCGAGAGAAACATCATACCAATCACATGGTGCATGGTATCGGAAGATCTCACAAGGATCCACAGACAGGGACATGATTTTCCCTCATCCATTTAAACGTTCGAGATAGACATGTCTCGATGGTCGACGTGGAAAGTTCCTGATGTCTGAAACCAGCTCTACTCCAGGTCCCAGCCGCAAGACTGTTTGAGTCGCGCGGGCACAAAAGATGCAGCCGGGCTTTGTGATGGCGTCTGGTGTTAGCCTCCTAACTATATATGCGGAAGATCTGAAGTGAAGCCACGAAGGTTTCGGTTTGACCTCAAACTCAGGGTGATGATCCTCATCCTCATGCTGTTGATTCTATTCCTGAGTCTCTGTGGCACGATAGCTGCTCAAGCCGTTGCGGCAGGTCTTCCCCATAAGAAACGCTGAAAAGATCTCAAAAGCATGATCTTTAGATTGCTGACGATTTTCATGGTTCCATTGCTGGTGACAGCAGAGAACTGCGAGCAGGAAGAATGCTTGGCTGCCGCTGTGAAGACAGATGGTTCCTTGACTTTCTACACCATCCAGGATTGTAGTGTGTATCTCTTACTGTCATGTTAATGTTTTCTTGGTTTTCTTGCAGAGACAGTTGTCACAAAGTCTCACCAAGGTCCTGACGAGGCCACGGAACTTTTGCAGGTGAAGGGTGATGCAGTGTCTGAAGAGTCCGAGCAAAAGGAGAAGAATGATGAAGAATGGGTGGCCTACAATCCTTATGGCCCCCGTGGTGGTCCTGGACATGGTTACGTTCACCACAACCCTCCTGGCCCTCGTGGTGGCTACGGCCATGGAACAACTGCAGTCCATCACAACCCACCAGGTCCTCGTGGTGGCATTGGGGGTGGCACTACTGTCTACCATCATCACGGCTATCGATGAAGGCTTGAGCCGAAGCAGCTTGGGACCTGGGATGTTTGCGACATAAG